TAGTGGAGAGGTGTCTCCATGTCTAGCGATTCATATGAATATCCGTTCGATGGATTTAGAATGGGACTTACTAAGTGCATGTGCCATCAAGTTCTCGTAAAGACTCCGGATTTCGCATTTGCAAAGGGGTTTGTGCTGGCTATTGTTTCAAGTCACCCAAGTGGTACCTGGTTTTTCACGCAAACAAAGGCCCGCACCAAATAATCGCCCAGTGGAAGACACTTGTATTCGGAGGAATGTGCGTGCAGAACCACAGTTTCACAGCGAGGCTGACAGCAACTCATATCTAACGAGGCCAGACATCTATGACTCCTGCATTTCATCTTTCATCTGATGACCCAGGCATCAGTAAAGGTGAATTTGTCGCATGGAACTTGAATGCTGGAAAAGAATATGAGTCTGCGAGATTTGCGTAGACAAATAATGTGGTATTAGAATTACGGAATAGGTGGCGTTGTGAGATCAACACCCATTTACACCAGTTATAACACGCCGCCATCGCCGACACTGTGTATAGTAAAGCCGGCATGGTATCGATACTCCTACATCCCTGACTCTGAGAGAAGCTTTCTAGTTCTTGTCCTCGGGGCAGTCCTTCTTGTAGTCGTCGCCGAGCTGGCCGCGGACAGCGCCAGGTACGGCAAGGCTAGAGTGGACATCGGTGAAGAATCCCTCGGGGTTCTCCTCAATCTGGCTGACCTTGAAGCCTGAGCCAGTGTCGACACCGGTAGTGTTGACGCCGGTGACAAAGGGGCCGGTCAAGCAGCCGACGCTGCGGCGAACGTTCTGGTATCCCTCGACGGCGATCGGGTTAGGGAAAGCGATGCTGGTGATTTTGGGTTAGCACTTTGAATGTTTCAAGCGATGTGTACGTGAGCTTACCGAGGGGGGCCAGCCTTGCCCTTCTCTGCCTGGTGGATGTGGGTTGCCGTGCGGGCGGGGGACTGGTACTCGCCCTGGAAGTTAACCAGGGTGATGTTGTAGCAGATGACATTCTCCTTGGAGTTGATGCCGTAGTTGAAGTAGCCAATGGCTCCGGCCAGTCCACCAGTGAAGGTATTGTTGTTGTCGACGACCTGGTCAGGTGTCGCGATCACGTCGTAGGTCGAGGTGAAGTGGAAGGGGCCAGAAGAGCCCCAGCTGCCCTTGCCTCCCTTCTTGGTCCAGCCAACAGCATGCTTGATCTCCTCGACAATGGGGGCGGCGGAGGCAGCAGTGGCCAGAGCAAGGGGGATGATAGCGAACTTCATTGTGATGCTAGGGGAGATAGTGAGTGTCTGGGGATGAATGTACAGTTGGGATTGATAGATACTGGAAGAGGTGGATGAGGATGAGATGGTGTGATAGAGATCGGAACTTGATGCTAATGAGGGGACTTCCATCTCTGTATATGTAGTAAACTTCAATATCCAGCTACGAGCTGCACCTCAGGTGCTTCTTCGGCAAGTACGGTCATTTCCCCTCAATTCCACAGCGCCTCTGCACTCACTCACTTGCATCACTGCTACGGCCTGGTGATGTGTTCGCTCAGCCAAGAACCGGAGGAACGATCAAGCGCTCTACGCCGGCGCCATTATCGCGGTCTGGGCTGTCGTGATGAATGGGCCAAGGGAATTGAGATTGCGGTGTTTGCCTCCCGCTCTCCCGCAGTCGCCGCGGCGCAGCAAATCGTCGAAAGTTGGGAGCTCCTTGGCACATTTTCCTAATCCGGGGAACATCGAGTACCAGAAGCACGGTTATGACGCCGCCGATCACTTGGGACTCGGCAGCGGAAGCGCGACTTGCCGTCCACAAGTCAACCAAGTGGGAGAGTTTACGTCTTGTTTAGGTTCGTCCGGTAGCGTCAATATTTCGAGGCAAGCTCCTTGGCGGTTGCTTGGCCCTCTCCCCCAAATATGCTCACCGCGACGCGCCGGATCGTTTGCCAATGCAGCCCAACAGAGAATCTGACGTGGGAAACACTTGGCTTTCACGGATTGCTACTACGGACATTTGAAAACCAATACTCCGCTGGCAGTTTCGACGATCTTTTCCATCCCACCCGCGCCAGAACACAGCCCGTTTTGGGCGCCCTTTCAGGAATCAATTGCTGGGCATCTTCCGGAAAGCCTCACATCCGACGGAATATCGTCTAAAGCTTAGTAAGTTGCTTTTTGTGCCTCTTTTTCTTTTCCCTTCCTTCTCCCTACCAAGTTCAAGTCAACCATTTTTCTTGCTCGGCATTTGCAAGCATGACACCGGCGCTGTTGTTAGATCAGCAAGAGTCTTGGCGATGAGGCAGAGCCAATAAAGTGAGACTTGTCTGACATCGCTCGGAGCACTTTATTTCTTAGGTATGGAAGCGCATGTTTCCTGCCCTTCAACAGAGTTTGCCGCCATCTCTACACCATCGCGAACATTATAAGGAGTACAACTTCTTGATACTTGACTGACCATTTTGTGCGGTTTTCGATGACACAATCACAACTTCCCCGCGGAGCTCCGTGCAGATGATGTGTAGAGAGGAGGAGAAGGAGAAACAGCTGCAGAAATATTTGCCTTGAGTGGTTACAATCAACAAATGATCAAGCCACGCAATTACAATTGATCAAAAATACATGTACGCTCGGCCTCCTTTTCACGAACAAGTTGAATGATCGGCGTTGTTTTCGACAAAATACAAACACATCGCCCGAGAAGGGACCGGTAAAACTCAAGGCTGGGCTGTTGGCTTTCGCCAAACCCAGTTCTCGCATTTCCTTACGGACGTTTGTCAATGTGGTGAACATTTGTTCTGTTGAATTCATTTGAGGAGAGAAGTTCTGATCTTGCTTGATAGATAAGTAAGATCCTCGGCAGCTAGCTGGTCAATAATTGGCGCCTCTGAAAACCATATTCGCCACGCAAGGCAACAGAAGGTACTCTGCCGGGATGGTATCGCTACAATTCTAGCATCTATGCACTTCTCTTGCTCTCAGGGTACGACTTGAGGAACCAAGAATGCGGGTCGCACGTGGTATTGTGGCTGAACAGCTTCATTAAGCCTGGCTCTTCACTTAGATATTCAATGCATGTGAGGTTTTCCATAGCTCTGGCCACAATTACAACAAGAGTCTAACCCCCCTTACGACGAGAGATATAGAACAGACGCAGATAAAATTTCAGAGTCTTCATCGCTGTACATCCCACTTTGGGTGTACAGCATTCAATTCCCGGCGATTGTATCAATTCCGGAGGGTAGCTCAACCCAGCAGACAGTTGCTCGGTTTCGCCGAGCCCACGAAAAACAAGGTCATGCTTGGATGGCAGTAGGGATATCGTTGCCAAAATTTGGTCGCTGAAGAGATAAAGGCCACACTTGTGAAGAACTGAGACCGCCGCTGGTAAGTGTGAGTTCTCATTTATACGCTTCCTATTTCGCCACTTCGTGCCGGCTCGCTGTTTCTTTCTGGACACGAGCATACGCTCTTCTTTACAAGACTATGAACCTACATCTCCGTGGAGGGCTTCGTCTAGGGCTCATACTAAGAATAAGGGGGTTGAACCCCGCACAGTTCTGCTTTCAAGTAAGAAGTATCACCAGTGCGCCTATCTGCGCATGACAATCGCATCGATGAAGGTTCGCTCACCCCCTTTCTGGCCTTCCAGTCGGCTATCGTTCGGACCACCAGTTGCGAGGGAACATCAGCGAAAGTTTCGGACCCTGAAGGCCGTCAGCAAACAAGCTTTTTAAAAGGGGCTAATCACGAGCTGAGATACAGGGGATATCCAAGACTCCAGATGAGCTGCTGAGGCTCGACAAGTTGCAATGGTTCAACCTCCACATCAAAGATCTTCAGGGACGGGGAAAGATTCATGAACTCGCCGATTATATGGGGTAATCATGATTCGTTTTATTAACATCATGCTAAATGTGCCCAGTAATGATCCGCGGAGTCGAAGCACGAGCCACATTCATAAACTCTACGATATTGAATGTCTTCTCAGAATGCTAGAAACCAGCACGAATAGCTCGCGATGGGTTCGTAGCTTTCCTCTAGCGTGCCGTTCATCCGATGTTCGAGCGAGTCACAGGGAATCTCATCTCCACGGGTTCCGGGCAAGTCTTGCGGATTCTAGACCCCGCTCCAAGATATAAAGACTGTTTGCCAAGCCCTTGTGTCGAGATATCCCCTACGCAATCAGTATCCCTATCTCATTACTTCAACTATAGAACTCCTAAAGATGCTGTCTTTACTCTACTCTCCGCTTCTGGCATTCGCGGGTATTGCTGCTGCTGGCTCGCTTGAACCCACCGCAACTCAAAGCCAATGCACAACAACGATAACGGTTCTCGATCCTGGCTTCACTGGCGACTACCAGCCGACGAGCACTATCACAATCTACAACCAGACAGTTACGATCGGAAAGCCTACAGACTGCCACGGCTGCAACCAAGTCATAACTACCGTGGAGCCGGCGCCTTGGTGGGGTGGGATAGGCCCACAGATCCAGAAGGTTATCTACGTCCACGCAACGACACCAACTACAATCACGTCACCCGTCTGTGCGACGTCAACACCGTCTTCTACGGGTGCCCCATAGCCCTAAAAGTAGTATATGAGCAAGTTCTAGAAAAGATATTTCCACGAGATTGTATGTTTGAAGCCAGGGTATTGGGTTCTGGGTCGGTCACATGTTTACACTTAGAAGGATCAAGAGTTCAACAAAACGTAATTGACTATGTCCGAATTCCACTATCCTACTTAGGCCATCCACGGCTGTAACCTAGTAGGTCAACGATACCATCAAGTGATTTGAGCTTTCAAAAGGGCCCTGATGAAAGAACGCGGAGACTCTAAAAATAAAGAAAACAAAAATCAGAACTAAGCTTATTCAATCAACTCCCCTCTTCATATCCACAGACGACGATGGACTGAGTGCGCTTCTTCAAGTTATGTCGCCGCGTTATGATTCTACTTGTCCGGCACCATGCAAACGCCAAACGCTTCCGACATCGTTTAGATAATTCCACTACCTTATCAAAGTCCGCTCTTATAGGTCTCATCTTCCTGAGGTCTTTTGATCTCAATAGAGGACAGGTTTACTTTGAACCTAGCATCCTCACTCCAATCGCCATAGGCAAGGTAGACCTCCTCGTCACTTACTGGAAAAGTCCTTCTAGGTGGGCTCGACAAGCCTAAGCCTGGCCTCCGAGAAGGATAGTGATGGATTATTAGATCTTGACTGCTAATGTTTTCGTAGAAAAAACCGCCTGGCGTTCCTGTTCCTGTGAAAGAGTCACGCAACTCCCAAACACCTGGACCTCGGTCATCGTCATCCGAGATGCGCACAATGTCTTCGTAGGCCTCGGTTGGAATGTTGGGGATCTTGTCTTTGGGATAACCGTGGGCTATTAGCAAAGCATCGCCGGTACGGATGCGGTCATGACGACTGAGATATTTTTCCTTTTCGTCCCACTGTCTCCTTAACTCCTTTTCTCTGGCAAAGCGCGCCAACTCTTCCTTGCTAGGCGTAGTCGGATTGATGAGTCCAGTCATGTCTGTTTCGATTTTGTCAACGCGAGATATCGAGAGTCGCCTGACTGGCGGCTTTTCAGGCCATTGTCCGTGAGCATTTTCCATATAGTATGTGTACACCACGTAAGGACCCGGAGGAAGCCACTCGCGTGGAACAAGTCTGGGACCAGTAATCTGCTGGCTAGCTTCTTCTTCGTCCTCGGAAGGTTCCTCTATCTCCGCAGCAGGGTTCGAGAGGTTTTCCTGGGGTGAGTCTGACCTCGGCATTGTGAGACGCCAGTTAGGTCTCACCACTTCAAGTCGCCCATTGGCAACTCGATGCTCTGCCGTAGTGTTTTGCCCGGCACCAAATTCCCCGTCAGCTCTGTAGATTCTTGTGGCACTCATGTAAGCTGCACCATTTTCCCTGTCAATTGCCGCATTTTGCCTTTCTCTCTCGGCCTTGCCGGTCAGATTTGGAATCCACTTCGTCTCTCCATGTAGACGGTCGATGTAGATGGGACGCCCGTCATGGGCCATTTTTCTGAAGATTACCTGAGCATCGAAGGAAGGAAAGTTTATCAATCTTTCCCCCAAGTAACTGTCGGCATCGATGGGGCTTCCAGCTGTAATTTGAGGAGGAAATGTACCATATTGAAAGGTTCGCTTTTCGTATGAAAGAGACCATGTGGTGAAGCCTTTGGGGGCTGCTTTCTTATAGCAGTCTGTGCATATGTTTTTGGTGTCTAACTTGCTCATGGGAGGTCGAAATGGTCCTGTCTCAGGGGCGTTCATTTCTCGCTCATTCATCGGATGATCAGGCATGAGGCTATATTCCCGTGCTTCCTGTACAGCCATCTCTGTGAAGAAGCTTAAAAACCTCGGTAGCTTGGGGTTATCCCCTGCCTTTGGGCGACTAGAAAGACATTTGCACTTCCCAGTGCTGTCGACGAGACAATTTAGGTACTCGGCGGTACCGGGGACAGGGCCTGCCGGGCCGGTCGGCCACATGTTGCGATCGTTTGATGACATGATAAAGTAATCAAGACTGCGGCGGAGGCACTACACGGGCCTTGGAATTGATTTTGCAGATGTGTCGTACTCTTGTAGGAAATGAAACGTATGGGGGACCCTCGTCCTTAAACACCACGGTGGAGGGAGGCAAACCTGAGACCTGGTAGGGGCGAGGATAGCGACTGACCCCATCCCATCTCGGCAGGGAGTGATAAATAATGACTAGAAGGCAGCGCCCATGGCGGTCCCAAAATTGGCACTGTACCGCTGCAAAGCCATTTAAATTCAAAGTCATTTGTTCTGGTATCTATTCCTACCTTACTACAGTGACCAGACTGCTTCGTATCTATCAGCATCTTCCAATATGCCGGACCAAAAGAAGGAGATATCGGGGTTTAATTACTTGGCCAGAGTGGAAACCGGGCGAATCAGACCTGTTTGAGAATTGATCAATTCTGTATCACGAATTCAGAAGTTGCTTTAGCTTGCTTGCAGTACACGAGCATCTCCTGACTGCTGATTAGCTTCTTGGCTTGGGACTGCGCCCCTCTGCAGGCTGACTCCCAAACTCCGCCCTAGGCTGTTTTCCAACAGCTACGCATGTATCAAAATCCATGATAGGTCTAAAAAACGTCGAGGTCCTCGATTGTTTTCCCTGTGCGGCTGTCGCTACCCGGTCTTCGCCTCGACAGACCACGGGCCCAAATTGCCCGTGCCGCCCTACATATAACCTGATTTGCTTCCCAACGTGCTAGCACAGCCTGTCTTCAGACTGCACGTAAATGCAAGTTCCTATGAAACGACCTGTACAGTGTACGGTCATGCACGGAACCGATGTCACAATCTGCACAGCTACCCAAAGAAGAGACGGCAGAAGCCCAACTCGCTATATGTACTATATGTCTCGCAGACGACGCCTCGTGGAACCATGAAGCCCCGGCCAGAAGCCGGATTGTACATAAGGAATGCTACTTAAAACCTGGCTTTTTCACCGTTGACACGAGCCCAATAGCACCAATGTAACTTCGGCAAGACTCTACAGTCTGTAGGGCCTTTAGCGTACATGCACAGAAGTTGTCAATTTCGAGCAGCGCCGCCCAGCCACACGATCTCATCTGTCAAGTTACGATACTTTTGAGCCCAATCAGAGATTGCCACATTAGTCCAGATCGACAACTTCAGTGATGAATCTTACTACCAAGCTACCAAATTTGCCTTCGTGGGCGCAGCAGCTTGTCGGGATTCTTCCTCTTACGGCCCTCATAGAATTCATTGAAGAAGCTGCCAAACTCCATGTATTTGAGCTATCAGGGCTTACGCCTGCATGGTGTTGGCCAATATCGCCAAAGGGCGCTCGTCTGCTACTCTCCACAGATGATACCACCAACGCATGTTGTCTCGATCGACCAGGCGCAGTGCCTACACTCCACTGCATGGACACAAAGTTTGGAGATCACTATCCTAGCGCAGCAGCCGCAACAACAAGGCTATTCTTAAGGAGTCAAAAGGTTGATGTCACGGTTGACAACAGCTTTGTGACCCTTGAGGATCGGACTCGACAGCAAAAGCTCTACGTGTATGTTGTGGAAGATGAAACGTCCGATGGTCCCTACGGCCCGATCCGTCGTCTCATCGACAAAATATGGGGCCCAGTCTCTTTACATTATGCTCTGGTCAGTTTGTCAGGATGGATTCTATGGACAGCCGGTATTGTCTGTTCACTGCTTTCGGGCACGTTTTATGGGATGATATACTTGCTTCTCATGCCGGTATCAGGACACTTCATTGGCCAACTGTTTGGAACCGCACCTCGCACTCTTATACCCGGGAGACACAATGGAAACATATCGAAGAGGCTTATTGTGGTTACAAGGAGTCTCAATGGCCAGGATAGGAACGCTTTCATTGGCTCGAGAAACTCGGTCAATGCTCTTTTGAATAGGCCACTTCAGCGCAAGTTGTTCCCAAGGCGGCCAAACCTCTTCCGCTGGATGCTTCGATTCGCAATCCTGGCTCAATGGAGTATCATTATTCTCGCATCTACACTCCAAGGTTGGGATGCCGTCGTCGTCACGTTTTGGACCGCGTTCTGCTCATTGTCGGTGACGTACCTCTACTCATCCGAGGATGCGGCCTCAGACTGGCTTAAACATCAGTGTCGAATGAAGTTGAAGTGTGTGCGGGCAAATTTGGGAACACGGAGGTCCTTGTTGGGGGCGCTTGTGTATCTCAATCCGAACCAAGACTCTACAGACTGGATGAATCCTATTCTGGCAAGGAGCAGCTTACGTGAAAAATGGGAGAGATCCCTCCTCGAGTATGCGCGCTCGGGTTGTGTTCACTTGGAGGACGAGAAAGAATATTGGGTGACATTCATCAAGGAGGGAGCACAGGTGGGAAAGAACATCGCTGATGCGATTGAAAGGTTGCAGGAGCGTCCTTTGTCGCGAGAGAAGTGCTGATGATAACATGACGTTTCATACTTGGAGTCAAAAGCTCTCAGCGAGGTCCTGGAGCAGCTGTGTGCTTTGGCTGTGATAACCATGAGATGAAACGAGAAGGAATTTTATGTACTATAGTGAAAGGGTATCTAATGGGAGGCAGTCTAGCTAGACCGCCTGAAGCATAGTAATGTCACGAAATTCGATGACTTCGGGCAACCTGAATGAACCACAGACAGGTCCTTACGCTCATGGCTCACACATATGAGAGCTGTTCATGTTTCCACCTTCATGGTCATTCTCATGTACCCTTCTCTCTACCAGGAGGGTCACTCAAACTGCTTCAGTCCCTTTTCATCCATCCTCTGCCCCATCCCTGTTGAACCGTCTCATTCTGCGTTGTTGGAACAACATTTGTCACTCCTGTGACACTACCGTCGGCGCTCTGCGAGACATCTGCCTCTGAAATTGTAGATATTCCCAATCCTGAAGATCGCATCGTACTCGAGTCTGGGGACACCGGCGAGACCACTGAGTAGAGCGTATTTCGAGTCCCCGTATCAGTAACCGGAGAGACGTATGCCGGGGGAGGCGAATTCGTTGTGGCGGTTGGGTCATAATTGTCCGCCGGCAGCTCACTCAGCTGGGTTGGGGGATCAGGGTCCAGCTCCGCGACATGTCGATGGACGCCGGTGGCCCCGCTGGCGGCAACGGCTGCTGCTGGGTCGAGCTCGGATATCGGCCGTGGATCGAGTTCGGACATTGGCCTCGACTCTCCGCTCAGTTCCGATTTGTATGCATACACTTCGCTCTGCTCCGGTCGTGACTTGATACTCCCCAGGGCAGCGGCACCCAATGCTCCTCCCGTGGCTGCAGCTCCCATCTCTGGTCCAACATTTGCATTCGATGACGTTGCTGCGGCGTCGGCTAACTTCTTTTGACGATATTTCATGAAGAACTTGTACCCGATGAATATCAGAAGAAGAACGGCAAGAATGATACCAATTGCGAGTCCAGCTTTCGCGCCATCATCCATGCCGCTCCCACTGTCGGGTGTCGATGTCGTTGTCACCGTTGCCGTAGTAATGCCTCCAGCCCCAGTGCTCGTGGTAGTAACTACGGTTGAAGATGGCGTTGTTGATGTAGATGTGGCGGCGGTCGGGACGGCTCCAGTCACGTAACAGTTCCGAATTTGATTAAAGATAGAACTATACTGTGTACAGCTGGCTTCGAGCTTGGTGATGTCGTCGAGATCATCGCTGTACCAAGAAGACATGCGACTCCTGAATGAGGCATAGGTGACGGAGAGTTCTAAGCCTGAGAGTGTAGACGTGTAATCGCAAGCCGTAGCTCCCCATGACATTGACGTGGTTGGCGCATTATCCAGGACGTCGGCTAGGTCCTCGGCGCATTCTGAATTTTGACGTCGAATCTGTTGTGAGCGGGCGTAGATGTCCGGCCGAGCCGATACCGGTTCGGCAGCCGTAAGCAGGCCGGCCAAGAGACCGAGGGCGGAAGCGAGTTCGGAACGCATCGGGGCGGACGCTAGGAATCTGATTATCAGATGGGGTTTCAAGACCAAGAGCCCATACGTCCACGCGGTCTGGGGAAGTGCGGGACGGAGGGCATTTGTGCTTAGATTCAGACAAGAGATATTCCGTCGTCAACGGATTGATCAGAGACAACGTGATCAAGAATCGGGACCACGCGGCCATTGGAACCCCGGCAATCTGTCCAACAAATACACTACGTCAACAACACCCGTCACATTCCGTGATTTTCGCTTTCCCCTCCTGCAAAAGTCTGCACTATCGCAACTCCACAGTCCATACTGCCTTGTAATCCACCGCCGGATGGGGACTATCATCACTCGGCCACTGCTAATTATACAGAGGTGCAGCTGCCAAGAATGAGCGGACCAACAGCGACGGTTCGTCCCAATGGGCCAAGAATTGTCTGGCCTGGGATCTCAGCCACGGTGATTGCGCTGAACAGGGCTGTGTTGGAGGTGATCAACAAGAAACCAAGACACCAAGTTACCCAACATGTGGGGAGACGTTGTTTCTCTCGGGTTCATCCAATTGGGTCGGGATTATCTTTTAGATGAAACATGATGGGTTAATCCGCGTTCGCCCTGCTTGTTGAGCGGACGAGTCTTTGGGATTTGAGAGCCGGCAGTAGGCCGGCAGTGGAGTTCTTGGGGGAGATTTGATGTGGATGGTTTAGGTTGTATCCTGATTGGAGCTTCACTACCAAGGTTTCTTTTGACTTTTTCTTACTTCGATTGCTCCGGTCGCTAGCTGGGTTGACAGCTCTACCGGTACTGGAGCGGGGTGTCCAGCCGTAGGTAGTCGAGTAAGGTTATGAAGCTGATCCCCGCCATGACACCAGTAACAAATCATTCCGGTCAGTCTACGCGACCTTAGTGAATCATGAGCTTGATCAGATGAAGAGCAGATTCTGTTTGGACGAGCTGCGAAAAGACACGCCACCGTGACGTACCAGGGCTATGGGAAATGGGGCGACTGAGGCTGGGCCTAGGAAAAAGCATCTAGAAACATTCTTGGCGTTGAGGTCGTGGGACTGTTCAGGTGAGGGGCGGGTCTCAAGCAGCGGCGAGAGAGAGAGAGAACTCAGAGAGCAATCTGATCTAATAGGCAAGATCATAGCTTTTGTCGATGTTGATGTTGTACGGTTTGAACAATGCCGTGGTTCTCTTCGTCCTCTATACCTCTATCCGTAGTACGCACGTCCAACACTGATGTCTTCTAGAAAATCCCAGCGACCGGCAAATCGATCTCTCCCAGGCTTTGGGCGCCACTAACGTAGAACTCCGACAGTTTGGCAGACCGCCGTGTTTCCCAACTATGTTCGGTATATTTGGGTCAGTGGCCCGCTCTCTTGGCGTGGAATCGCCCTGCTCATAGGGCACTAAAATGAATCCGCGACTCATGACCGGCAGACGAGCAACCTTATGAGGCGCCTTTTTAGGGGGTGCCCTCGACCCCAAATCCCCAAAGAGAAGATTGACAGGGCACACAGGTGGGCCATCAAGGGGCAGAGCTGTCCGCTCATGTCCGCTAAAGTGGTGGATCAAACCTAGCACAGGGGAAAGGCAATTAAGCTCAATTTAACCTCGTCGTGTCCGTGGAACGAAAACGAACATGAGTCTTGTGACAAGTGATGGTGAGATAATAAGAGATCTAAATGGTATCAAATGCTGGTCCAAGGAAAACTGACAAAAAGTAAAGAAGAGATCGGCAGAGTCATCAAAGCCGTCATAATATCTCGCCGGTGCATCCGTGCCCGCCTCTCGAGCTGTTCCCCTCGGCCGGAGCGCCGACAAGGAGGTCTCAGCCACACACAACTCCCGCGTCCGGCTCTCCAAGCTCCTCGGCCACACGCCAGTGCAGCCAAGCTCAGGCAGTCTTCTTATTCGTTGATGCGATGTTGCCAAACTTCCTGCTCAGCCCTTGCGCTGTAGGTGCTCGCGCCCAGAATGGCTCTCATCTGGTCGACGCCCAGAAACATAACCTGGCGCGCAACGAACCAGCGGATGCCCTCATGGCAGGGTGGGCTAGTCAAGCTGCCGCGGTAGGTCCAGAACTCGTTGAATTGCAGCACGCTGTTCAACGCCGGCATGTGGTCAATCTCGATCTCTTGCTGAACGCCGACGTCGTTGAAGCCGATCATGGGCGGCAGCTGGTTGAAGAAAGTGTTGTTAGCGTTGCCGGGGTCCAACCGGATCGCCAGCACGGCCTTCTCGTGGCCCTCCTCGTCCACGTGGACGAGGTGTAGCTCCGCCTTGGACCTGTCGCCGTTGACAGAGTGGTCGGCGGGCGAGTGGATGTGCCAACCCTTGAGGTAGAGCTTCATGTCGTCGTAGGTGAATGAAGGGTTACCTGTGTAGACGCCCTCCGGGTGCGTGACAGTGAAGGCTGGGCCGTAGCCCCAATTGTAAAAGTTGCCCGCCGTATGGTTGGGGTAGTCAAACCGGAGGATGTGGTTCAGTGCTAGTCCGTTGTTGAGGCTGAGCGCGATGGGCGACTGCTGCGTGCCGGTCTGGCACAAGGTGTAGTCTGAGGTTGGCGTCAGTACATGTACCTCCAGTCTCGACCATCAATGACGATCATTCGGCGCGCATGCAACTTTAACTTACTTGGATTGAGACGACCCCAATTGAAAGAGGCCTCATAGGCCCAGTCCGCGGCTGGCAACGGGGCCATTTCTGCACGTTTTCTGTCTGCCATGGCATAGTGGTTCTGATGTCCCGCACACGCGAGGACATCGGACGCCATGAGCAGCGCGCCAAGGAATACTGTCGTGATCATTGTGATAGCGGGATCTGGAGAAACTAGCTGCGATTTGCGATAGATCTTCGATCGTGACCTATTTACCGTGAGGGCCTCGTCAAGCTTTATACTCTATTACACGGCAGCGAACTGCGGGGCGAAGCACTGAAATCTTCCTGGACGGCCTGTATAACCTTATGGAAGGGGGTTCATTTCCGCCTCCCGTATGCAGTGTAGCCGGCCTCGAGAAATCCTCCGAGGGGGGAAGGTCGAGAACCTCGAGATGCATGACTGGTAGAACATTATAGCCGCCTGAGCCAAGGCCTACTAAACAAAAGTAAAAGCAAGGGAGCACTGTTTTATCGTCAGATTCTGAACCCTTGATGCCGCGTTTTCCATGATGCTTGGCGCGCAGGACACTCTCTGGGCGTGCCGTATTAGAGATGCGCCGGAAATGATGGGCAGAATCAACGCATCAACCCGAGTACAGGGTAAACTATGCGTTGTGATACCGCCGGCTTGACGTGAACCCCCTCTTGATGTACCGCTATTATCGCTGTTTTGTCCGTAAATTGCCCGTATTTTTAGCCTTTCTTTATCAATCATATCCCGCAAGCTCGGGGCAGAGATGGGACGGTGGCGTAAAATTACAGGAGGCGTTAGCTCTGATGGACAGGACAACCTGGGCACGGCTGGGCACGGCTGGGTGAGATGCGCTGTACCCGTGGCTAAGTTCTTCCCTTCTACAAGTTTTTGCACTTGGCGGCGAGGCCGTTGTGTACCTTCGTGTGGCTTGGCTGACGCCTCATCGAACGTGTTTGTGTTTCTACCAAGACTCCGAGGCGGGGAACCTCACCCATTTGCCCTCAATTCTTTGGTCGCCCTGGATCACGGCATTTGGGATGGCGCTTGGTCCAAGATTCGTCCGTACTCGCGGTATGTTTCTCACTCTCGACTAAGGTATCTTGGCCCTAGGCAGAGACAGCACCAGTGAACAGAGCAAAAGGCGTTTAGTCCGAGCACGTGGTCAGAATGCCGATGCGGCTTCCTCCGGCGACACAAAGTCTAGACTCGGACAAGACTTAGACCGCTTATGTGAGATCTCGTCTGGATGTGAATGGAGGCTGGTTAATATCTGATCGTGAATTAATTCGTGGAAATCCTGAGTGCCAAGAACTACTGCAAAAAGGTGGACGGCCATGCGAGACATGAGCAATCTGAGACTGGCGCTAGTTCCCAGGAGGGGGCAAGCCGGAGGGAGGCTCAACATTGCTTTCAACTTCCTGTTCCCGATTGCTGAGGAAAGATTCCGAAAGATTTTCTGTTGATAACTTATCTTTTTTCGAGTGGACGACAGTGCATCGCCGATGGTAATGATTGCTCCGGCCGTGAAATGGGTCCAAGCCATCTTGAACGGGTGTATCTTCACTCAATTGTACCGATCTTGAGTCTTACTTTGGGGGCAAAGATGACGAGGGAAAATAATGAGAGTCGTTGAAATAGAATAAGCTACTGTCGGCATCTAAAAACAACTTTCTCGTCTGGTGCGAACAAACATGAAGTCTTTCACGGCTGATGGATACAAACGAGATCAACTAACTTATTGGCGTTGGAAAAGATGCTATTTTAGAGCCCAGTCCATAGGATTACCTTTTTCTCCAAATATCTCAGGACAAGCATCGCATAAGGTAGTCACTATAAGGCCACTTGGCAGGGTCCCTAATTCCATCTGTATTTGAGATAGTCAGGTTGTGGAATCCCGATAGATGATCGTGAGGTAGACTTACATGTAGGCTATGTCTATGTTACATGAAGGGGTATCTACTAGGTAGTCCTATTAGAACCGACGGAATTGCCATGGTCTCTTGTAAAAGAGATTCTTCAACATCCTTGTCAAGAAGAAAAGATTGTAAAGCAGTGCTTCTGTGAAAGGCAAGAGGTAGAAGATAATGGATATGGAGATGGAATATATACGAGAAAGAGTATGACTTTCTATGGGCTTGAGGCGAAAGAAAAAAGCCGGTAAAGTGATTGATATGAATAAGGCAAAACTCTGAAGCATCGCGGTAGGACCGAGCAGGTTGCCTAAGCGAACGTCCGTCAACATGGGAGGTGGCACCGTGTCGAACCGCAACCTTGTAGGCCACACAGGCTAATATTCAATCGAAGCTTCGGTAGAAAGGGCTAGAACAAGACGGTGCTGACTGCCTTCGCTATCAAGGTGTTGGTCACTGGGTTTCCCACACATCCCTTCTCCATCGAATTGCATAGTATTCATCTTTCCCCTTTACATCAACATTAGCCACCGCGGAACATCGATACAGGGTGAGTATATCCAAATCTTCATACAATATCTGACTCCCTCTCAAGTATGCGGTGCAAGAAATGTAGATGCGGTTGTAGAAAGAGAAGCTAACAAGAGGCAGATCAGCCACACCAGGAGAATATTCACGTCACAGCTGCCAACAGAGACTTTCGTTGAGGAAACAAAATGGATTTGCGCTGGGCTCTCACAGAAGAATGGTCCAAAGAGCAGGGCAACTTCACCATTTGGGATCAGGCACCTGACGACGCTGAAGCCGAATTCATCTATATCACACCAACTACCGAAAACGACGCAAGCCTCGAGAAAGACAGCGCAGTTTCCGACATAGGACGTCGACAAGAGATCGAGCCAGGCGTATCGCCAGAACAAGCGGATTTCGATGATGTCAAAAGGCCTTACAGGTGCGATGAGTCGAATCTAGCACCGGTCGAAGTATGCAAGATCCTCCTCTGGGAAGTTCAGCCTGCACTGGCACGGTACACGACAAAGAAGAAGCCGCGTCGGTACTGCCTTGACCACGAGAAAGGCAAGTGCTGCATCGGCCACCGAATAGGCCCAGCACAGAGGGCGAATATCAGACAAGGAACATTCCCACGGTTAGGCGAGGCCTTGACGAAGCTCATCTACTTCTGTACGAATACGCATAGGATGAATGGGATGACTTCTGGCGAATGTAGGGTGACAGTGTATGGTATTGATGGTACTGCGTGGGTTGATAATGGATTTATCGCCGACCCAGTGGAAGATACCTAGTTCAGCGATGTATTCTTTGGTTCACTGTGAGCCAGCTGAGATATAATGAGTTTAGAAGCGGGCGGGAGCGTATGGGTGACGATGTAGTTTCGCGATTGACACGTTGATCGACCGCGTATCTCCTTCATGAACAATGGAATCAGAGACAGAAGGCTAGGGCCAGCTAATCACACGCATCGCTCCCCACGCTGAAAACAGAATAAATCCATTGGAGTACCCAGTCAATTATCATCAATCATTACAAAGAACTCAGCATCCCCGTCCCATCATGACACCCAATGTACTCAAAGACCTGCTGCTCAGGCTCCAGAACCAGTACCTCATGGAATAATGCCAAGGACATCTGATCTCCCAACCTTTTGGCATACTTTGCGAACTCGCCGAAGATAGCCAGGTGCGTTCTGTGCTCTTTACTCCAGCGCTCTAACGAGGCGAGGTTGTCAAAGTACGCCAGCCCAAAGGTCCGATCGTGCCCGCCCTTGGCCGTCAGGGGGTCGACGATCTCCATGAAGCGGCAGCTGAAGCAGCCGACCTCGTCGCCGTGGTCGCGTAGGTATTCCATACCTCTGACCAGCGGCGGCTGCATCGCATCGAGGTAGATTTGCCGCTCTTCGGGGAGCGCTGCGGACCAGTCCTGTCCGGAGCGGATGACGGTGAGGTTCTTTTTGCCTTGTACGCGGACCCTCTCCGGAAGATGGGGTTTGCCGTTTTGTGACGTTGATCCGTTGGCCTTCTGCTTGCTTTTTTCTTCTGGGTCTCCGAGAAGTTCATCTGTCTGGGATACGGGCAGGCGATCTCGCATGCTCCCCCAATAGACATGCTCCTTGATGGGGCCGCTGACGCTTTCTCTCATGTGTGCCGCACCCTCTGGTACAGCCGTCGAAAACACAGTCTCGAACCGATCGGCCGTCGGGAGAAACACCTCCAAGAACCATCCATGCCGTGGCCCTTCCCCCGGCTTCGCCTCACTCCACCACGTGCGGAAGCCGCTCTCAGCAGACCACTCCTCGTAGGCGGTCTTGCTCGGCCAGTACGCAAACACCGCAACATTATAGAACCCCCGATTGTCTACCACAGCCGCGGCTTCGTGAAAGGCCGGGCGCGAGGCTGGGGCGACTCGGTCGCATGTCGTGAAGGAGGCTATCGTCTTCAGGGCGCCACCATCGTTGAGGTCTGCGGATGCGTACTGGGCGCCGATGATGGCCATGACTATGTCTTTGATGGTCTTGGGGAAGCGGGAACTGTAGAGCTCGAAGGGGGGCGTGAACCCTGGTGGTGTCTTTGCGGGTACGGTGCGCTCTTTTCGGAGCCATTCTGGGATTGCGGATTCGAGCTCCATGGCTGCGACTGTGTGTTTCGGTGAAGGATTGAGATCTTGTGGCGGGGAAAAGTCAATGGTACGACGTTTCCCTTTTTCAAGACCCTGGGCCATGTCTGGAGGATATAGACGACGTTCATCCTATAATCGTTGCGGACTTGAATATTCCGCAACCTCATTTTGTCGGATCGGTTGCCAAAACACTTCTCAAGCTATTCTAGAAAGGATTTAACGAAGTTGTGGTGTGAACACCACTAGGGAGGATATCAGATAATGTGGACGGAATTGGGACGGAACAGACGGGCAGTGAGGTCATACAATTCAGGGATCCGACGACGAGAAATGAAACCTTCATGTTTACAAAGATAGTTCGAGTGCATTACTCCCAATTCCAACCAACGGCATAATCGATAATACCAAGCTAATCATGGATGCACTAGATAGGATAGTGCTCAGCCGGTGAAGCTAACCCCACCGACCACGCGGATCGCGTGCATCACTTTTGTCTGCAGGCTTTCCCCCCTCTCCCTACACCGAATTACCCCGGATTTCATTGATAACGCGCTAGTGGCTCAGCTCGGGAAGTGACACGACATCAGACGGAGCGACCAACGATGCGGATAGGGTAGTGCTTAACCGTTGGGAAAATCTGGGGAATATGTAACTTGTAAGAGATAGAAGGGCGGTTGGCCCGGGTTAGTTTGTGATGTTTTTGAGCAGTAAACAGACGATCTCCAAATGCGTTGGATAGGATAGTGCTGAGCCGCTCGCGATGCGGCACAGGTGAACCCCTCATCTAGATATGTTTGTTGGAGCAGGCGGAAAAGAATAGCCTCGCTTTCGTGCTACAAAAGAGAGAGAATCTGCCCGTGAATGAGGTCGAGTTCAGATGAATATCATCCAGCAACTCAACAGTCTCTCTCATTTCACCTCATAACCCCTCAATACCCAGTCAATCTTACCTTAAATCCACTCCGGATATCACATATCAGAAATGGCTCCCAAGCTCAAGATCGCGGCCATCCAAGCCGAGCCCGCCTGGAACGACCTCGAGGGCGGTGTTACCAAGTCCATCGCTCTCATCGAGGAGGCTGCTAGCAAGGGCGCCAATGTCGTCGGCTTCCCTGAGGTCTTCATTCCCGGATACCCATGGTGAGTGAGAATGAGACACATATCCTTCCCATTTTGCTTGTCCGCGACGGATCCCTTCGTTTTGCTCTCCGCGTCAATGGTTTGGCTAATTTCTTACCGTCGAAAGGAGCATCTGGGCCAAGTCCCCCACCGACAATGCCGCCTTCATGGACGAGTACTTCCGCAACTCGCTCGTCAAGGACTCTGACGAGATGAAGCGCATCTGCGCCGCCGTCAGGGAGGCCGGTGTGTTTGTCGTTCTCGGCTACAGCGAGAGATTCAAGAATACCTTGTACATTGCCCAGGTAAGACACTTGTCTCTTTTCTCTTCCCTCACTTTCACTGTCTCATGAGTCTGTTTTCTCACGTATCAAAAAACAGTCCTTCATCGACGAGAACGGCGTCATCGTGCACCACCGACGCAAGATCAAGCCGACCCACGTCGAGCGCGCCTACTGGGGCGACGGCCAAGGCGAGTCCCTTCAGACCGTCGCGCCCAGCACGCTCCACCCGTCGGTCAAGATCGGTGGCCTCAACTGCTGGGAGCACACGCAGACGCTCCTGCGCTACTACGAGTACGAGCAGGACGTCGATTTGCACGTCTCCAGCTGGCCCGTCCTCTGGCCTCACCCGACGGACAAGGACGGCGTCAGGCAGGCCGACTGGCCTCACCACATCACGGACGAGATGAGCATGCGCTTCTCGCAGGTGGTGGCGCTCGAGGGCACGTGCTTCGTTATGGTCTGCACGCAGGTCGTCAGCGAGGAGTCCAAGAAGCGGTGCCGGATCGACGAGTTTGGGTACGCGACAAACTCTGTCGGCGCGGGCGGCGGCTTCAGCATGATTTACTCGCCCTTTGGCGAGGAGCTGGTGAAGCGCCCTCCTCCTGGGGAGGAGTGCATCTTGTATGCTGATGTCGACCTCGCGGAGAAGGCCAAGGCGAAGCAGAACCTCGATATTGTCGGACACTACTGCCGTCCTGACCAGCTGAGTCTGCGGGTGAACAAGTACCCTGCGCGTCCCGTTCACTACGCGGCCGACCCTTGAGAGAGGGATGTTGGAGGATGAATTACCTTAATCATGAGATCAGAGACTCTTTTTTTAGTTAGCAGTGATGAATTGTTGAGAATTCCCAGGAGGCGATATATCCATCGGCGAGTTTCTCGGATGTGTGTGTCTTTTATTGTCAAGCCAAGAGTAGAGGAAGTTGAGCGGCATATAATTAGTTGTGATTTCGCTTAGTTAGTAATTATCCTCATTCTGTCTCAAAATAATTCCCCTCTTAACACTCCGTAACTCAGCTCAGAATCTCAGCTGAAGCTCCCCCCCTCCCCTCCATTCCCCTTTGTGTTTTAGAGTTTGGTCTAGTAGAAGCAGACGGGTGGATTGGGCGGAGCTTTTTCGATAACTGAGCGTGCGTTGATTGGGGAAGTGCGGGGTTTTCACTCTCCTTTTTTCTTTTCTTTTCATAACTGAAGCGCGTCGTTGGCTCCCCCCCTCCTCCATGATCCATCCCATCGGTAGTTGAATAATATTGAAACTGCGGTCTCTACCACATCGTCGGGACCTGTCAGAAACACACATCCACACTGACTTGCTGGATGATAATGCCTCTTCTGTCAACCGAGTAAAATCTAGCCGACTGGGCCCATATTTGCGGTTATTTGCTTTCCTTGCTCTCATACACACAGTATTCCCCCCCCTCAGAATATGCTCGCGTGTACGGATTATACGGGCTTTTGATACTCACCTGAGCCATGTCGACCTCTGTTCCCCAACGGCAGCCCGAAGGCAAAAAGAGACAGCGGGTCTCCATCGCCTGCCTTGCGTGCCGGCAGAGACGCATGCGAGTAAGTCGTTTCCCCGTTCATAACCTACCTCACCACATCTTCCTTTCGCCATTCTTCCCTGTAGTGACACAAGAGATCCCCCCAGTGCGATGGACAACAGCCCATCTGCGGCTCTTGTACGAGGAGGGGCACCGAGTGTGAGTTCCAGCACGCGGACAACAAACGCCGGTATGTCATGAACCAAGAACCTTTCCCCCTCCCTCCCCCCCCTTCCCCCTCTCCTTTCTCTCCTATTCAGAGCCCCAAGCTCCAAGCTCCAACCCCCAACCCCCCCTTCTCCGGTCTCCCCGCGAGTTCCACAAAGATGTGGATCTCATCACGACCGGTTCGTGCTTGTCACTGACAGCCACGGCCGTATGTCACCGTCCCCAGACCGCCCAGCAAGAAATACGTAGAATCCCTGCAAGCCCGAATCAGACATCTAGAAGCCCAAGTCGTCGCCCTAGGCTCCCAGCCGGCCTCCGGTGACCTCGCCGCCGAGACCACCGAGGATCATGACCCGCAAGACGACAGCGCCGGCGACGACGATGATGACGGAGGCGGTCCTCTCTCGGACCTCACCGGCCTCGTCGGCCGCCTCAACGTGATCGAGGACGGCCAGCTGCACTACTTCGGCTCCCAGTCCTCCTACAACCTCGTCCGCGAACCCCCGCGCGACTCCCCCGCGGACCCGCGCGAGCCCTCCCTCAAGATGCAGCGTCAGGGCCTCCTCGCCGCCGCGCAGCTGGGTAAGATGGTCACCGTCCCGGACGAGCTGCAGGCCCACCTCCTCGAGCTCTACTGGCGCTGGCAGAACCCGTGGAACTACGTCATCCACAAGAGCGCCTTTTTGCGGAGCTACCGCGGCGAGGATGACGGGACATATTGCTCGCCGTTGTTGCTGTGCTCCATCTTTGCTATCGCGGCGCGGTATTCTGATCGACCTGAGCTGCGGACCGTGCCGGATGATCCCAGTACTGCTGGGGATGCGTTTGGCGAGCACGCCAAGATTCTGCTCCTGTATGAGAGTGAGGCGCCGACGATTACGACGGTGCAGGCTGCGTGTCTGCTTGCGTTGAGGATCATGTCGGATGGCAAGGAGGCGTTGGGGTGGCTGTACTCTGGTATGCTATATGTTTTATTCACTTTTGAGCTTCGTGAAGGTCACCTGCTAATGAGGGCAAGGAAACGCAACGAGAATGGCACATAACCTTGGGCTTCATCTCGATTGTTCCAAATGGGCCACTGCTGGTCTGCTTACCGAAGAAGAGGCCGAGGCGCGAAAAGTGACGTGGTGGGGATGTTATGTTGTTGATAAGTGAGTAGTCTCCCTTTTTCGTAGTCCCTTATCCTCACGCATGATGTGCATCATATTTCATATTAGACTGTGCGAGAGAAGCTGGCTGACATGTCCCAAGGCTCTTTTCAACTGGACTGGGCCGGCCAAGCAGTACGCCGAAATCCACCATCTCTTGCCCCAAACCCAGCATAGACAGCAACGAAGAGTACACACCATGGCTGCCAACGTCAGACACTCTGGGTTCTGAAAAGTCTCTTGGGGTCCATTCACACATCTCATCAACAGCTTGCCATGTGTCAGAGACGTTTACCATTGCTTGCGAGTCAATGGATATAATGTGCGTTAACTCCAGTCTCACCCCGTTCTGATCTGCGAACTCTTCTCATACAACGTTTTTCTTTTTTTAGATACGCCGCCAACAGCAAACTCTCGACACGAGAAATTGAGGATGTCGTTAGCAAAACTGATGTACAATTGCGGACGCACTACAGAGAGTTGCCGAGCTACCTTCGCTTGCCGGCCTCGCCCAAGGTCCCGATGCTTCCTCACGTTTGTCTTTTCCAGTATGTTCTTTTTTGATAGCATTTCGATATCCCCCCCACTTTCTGAAGAAGTAAGTGTGCAGGGCAATGGGGTTATGGCTAATCAATGATTCTACTGCAGCATTCAATATCATGCACACCTAATCCTCTTACATAGACCGCTCGTTCATAAGCGAAAGAGACGGTCCGTCAGCGTCAATACGCCAACCGATGACGGTAGCATCGATGGAGATGGATACGATAATCAGCACATGGCAACATGCCGTCACTCAGCGGCTGAGATTTCGAGGTTGCTGCGCATCTATAAGCAGCAATACACGCTGGTAAGTGCTTTTCCCTCCTCGTATTCGGTTTTGCCCCCCACCAAGGAATGGCTCCCATCTCATACTTTGAACAGCGGCGTATCCCCATTGCTGCAGTTCACCTGTGCTTCTCGGCTGTGGTAATTCACCTAATTGATGCCCGACCATCAAACCCCAACCGGCAGCAGGCGATCCGGCACCTACAGACATGTGTCGATGCTCTGCGAGACTTGAGGACGGCGTGGTGCGCGTGGAGCGACAGGGCCTTGCGAGCAGCGCGGCTCTTGGCGAGAGAGTGGTACCAATGTGAAGATGTCTCACTGTTGCAGCATTGGGGTGGACTCAGCGGGGTCGAGGGCAGCATTTCTGGACCAACAGCAAGCGCAGCAGCAGCAGGAGCCGCCACCGCTGCAGGAGTTACCGTCGGTATCCCGAACGCAAATGAACAACAGCAACAAAACCAGCACCAGCCGTATCAACAAAGTGGGATAGCGGACGCGGACAGATTGATGGGTCAAGGGCAGACAACGGATGGCGATGTTCAGGGCGATCCTCTGGCTTTTCTTTTCGACGTGGCAACACCTGACCAGTACACGGATAGTCTGGTGAAGGAATGGCTGGCGGAGAGTGGCTACGATGTGTTGAATACTGTGGTCGAGTGAAGTCGATGAGTAATTTTGGCCGGCGTTTTTGGTGTGTCTGAACGTCTTGGTATATCTCGCCGTTTATGCGGAGAGTTTCGAGGAGGATGGATGCTTTCTCTAGCTTGTCAGTGTGTACCAGCGTGTTGCCTATCGGTAATCAGACGGATACTTAGCAGAGACTAGGTGCTCGGTCAAGAATGTCACGTCAAGGGGTCAAGACGGCAGATCCAAGTCGCAGCAACGCCGACTTCAGCGGAATGACTCGTGTTAGATGGACTAGTCCAAGCCATCTGACGCAAGAGAGGGGTCTCAGGTCCAGCGTCGGCGGCAGATGCCGGTGTATAAAAGACGAATCGAGGTGTAATGCAAAACGGCCTTTGAATTGTGCAACATTATGCTTGAGATCGCTGACTGGTGATTCCCTTTTGAGCTTAGCAGCGTAGCTTAGCTCGGAGGGTACGGAGCGTCGTCCGCAACTCTGGGGCCCTTGGTGTTCCTTGGAGGGTGGTCAATGGCATGGTTCAACACGCACGGTACAGCCGCTGACGGGTTTGATGCCCGATTTGATGCAGAGTGACGGTGAATTCTGTCGGGGTGCGCTGGCCCTTTTCGCTGGTCTGATTGCTCCGTCTCATTTCTCCCCCCTCCTTTTGTGGTTTTCTTTTTGGTCTCTGGTCTCCGTATCCGTTGACTGTGCTGTTGTTTGTTGTTTCGTTTTTGTTTTTTTCGTCTTGATCCTTTTTTTGGTGATGATGTTTTTCGGGACTTTCCATCGTATTTCCCCCCTCCAACTGCCATCGCTCCTACCTGCTCTGTAGGTATCAGGTCCTACCAAATCGGTTTCGCTTTCCCCCATCTCAGATCGTCCTTTCCCTCTCCCTTTTTCACTTTCCCATGCTGCCATCGGTGGAGGGGTGCACCCAGAACCCACTCAATATCAGGAGCGTGCTCCGAACCTCTCCCATTGGCTGGCAACACCCGTATAGCCAATAGGAGCACCTCCTCCTATGGACCCACGTGATGGGTATCTGACCTGGGCCCACCGATCGAGATTCGAGACCTTTCAGCGTCCAGTCACCAGTGTGAAGTGTTCCTTCCTCTTCCCGAAATCCCAACTGAGTAAGCAGCCGCCGGGTGGGATAATTGAGAGAGAAAGAGCGGAAGCCGCACTCGCACTGCACCTGCACACAGTTTGCGATTTACCCTCGGTCGTTCCTGCTTACTCTCTTTCTTTTCTTCCATTTCGGAAATTTTTCTTCTGTCGTATTCTATTTTACCCGGCAAGGAAAAGGCGAATCTGATAAAACTGGCAACCTGTGCAGCCAGCACCTCAGTCGCTTTCTCCTTGAAAAAGGAGAGCGAAAGTGTGAAGGGAAAACGCAACAAGTGGAAAGAGCTGGTCCATGCGTTTTGGGGGTTGAGGTGAAATTCCTCAGCAAACTGCCGTTGGAACACCAAAAAAGAGCCACGGCCAACCGTCTCATCCGGAACAGACCAATAAGTCGCCCAGGAAAAGAAACGAAGAAAACAAGAAGCGGAAAAGAAAAGAAAAAAGAACAGGAGAAAAAAAAAACAGGGAGGGAGGACAAGGCAAAGCGGTCAAGCTTCAATCTCATGTCGGTCCCGGCAAAGCGTCGTCGCGTCATTCTTCCCGCACCGGGCGCCCAACCCTCCGGATCGTTCCCATCAACCTCTTCATCACTGGTAGCAACGCCATCTCTCCAGCCCTCCGCCTCGGGACGCGGATCGACCGGAGGAAGTGGGAGCAGCGAAGAATCGTTGTTGGGGAACGACACGAGTCGCGATCTTCAATCCAGAAGTCAGAGCATCGACTCATCCTCAGCCGATGCCAAGAAGCCCAGGGCCGCTTCCAAACGACAGGTTATTGCAGTTGCTTGCGATAACTGCCGCCGGAGAAAGGCAAAGGTGAGTGAAACAATCACCGATACAAACCTTTTCTCTCTTTCTTTACAAGAGAGAAGGAGGGGGTTTGGTCACCATGATCCGAGACTGAGAGATTTCACAGTGCGACGGCCATCGGCCAAAATGCCAACACTGCTCCAAAAGGGGCGTCGAGTGCCATTATGAGGCCAACCAGGGCGAGACCGTGAGTCTCGCGCTCAAACGCAAGGCAAACGACCTCGAAAGCGAAAATGTCCAGTACAAGGAGCTTTTCCGCATGGTCTGCACCAAATCCGAGGACGAGGCAAAGGAGATTTTTCGTCGCATACGCCTGTCCGGTGACCCCCTCAGAGTCCTCGAATCCATCCGCCAGGCAGAGATTCTGCTCCCCTCTCTCCCCGTCAATGACCGCGTGAGCGATTCGCGACTAGCAAAGCTCAACGAAAAGGCAATGGAAAACAGCCTCCTCCGCGTGCCGGCAAAACCCTGGACCGCCGTTGCAGACGATGGCATTGTCTCCGAGTTGATTACCGACTTTTTCAGCTGGGACAATGCCAGTTGTTTTCCCGCCGTTGAGCAGAACTTGTTTCTCGAGGACATGAGGTCCGGGAATATCAAGCGCGCAAAGTGGTGTTCCCCTATCTTGGTGAACGCAATGTGTGCAGTCCGTGCTGTCAGTTCCCCTTCTTCTGCATCTTCCTCGGCATATTCTACAATCGCAATAGAGCATACTGTGACTGACACTTTTCTGTAAGCCATTCGTTGCAACCATCAAAGAATTTCACAGCTACACCGGTCAGGATCTGGCCAGACAATTCCGAGAAGAGGTCATGCAGCTAGTGGAGAAAAGCCACGGCCGGGCGTCAATCCCTACGATCCTAGCTCTCGTCCTAGTGGACTGGTCAGCAAGTATTGCAGGCGACGAGGCCAGCGCCAAAATGTATCGCTTCATGGCTTGGGAAAGATATAAACGCTTCAAACCGGAGCGACGCTTCGCCCAGCTCAACAAGGACGACTTCAATGATGCAATTGAAATGCTCGTCATTTCGAAAGCTGTGTGGGCAATATTCTTGATGGAGAGGTGCGTACCTACTCCCCTTTTGATAACGAACCAACCCAACTGTCAGAATCACCAACCCCAAACTAATACTTGAACCAATAGCCGCGTATCATATTTCTACAACTCAACCGCAGATATTCCGCCTCCGTCAATACCCAGATTATTCGACAACTATGGACGCGACGCCCACGAGCCTCTGGGCAACGTCGACGTCCTCGGTCGACCATATCTAGAATCTACAAACCTGATACCAGTCGTTCCTGGCATTGCAACGGTCGTATCCGATCTCGCCATGCTACAGTATGATGTCATGTCGTACCTCACGTCTGGCAGCACCATCAAGGGAAGCATCGAAGATGTGAGGCGGAAGAAGCACTGGTACTGCAGATTGCGGGAGTTCAGGGAGGCATTGCCCAGACGCTTCCAACTGGAATACAACTTCACTCCTGCAACCTGCTTCTTGAGGCAAGTTTAGGAATTCCACTCATCATCGGCGACATTACGAAACGAAGAGTCATGCTAACATTATTTAGGATGCATGAGAACGAACTAGCCTATGCCGTCCTACAGTCACTCAGCCCATCAACCATCTTCGACACTCCCTTTACCCCACACTCAACAACCGTGAAGTCCCTCTGTCTCCAGCACTGCATCTCCGACACAACCATCGCAGAGTCATACCTACAACGCTACTGTACTCACTCGTACATCACCCGCGTCATGTTCGTAGCGATGCAAAACCTCATGCCCTACCTCAATGAAGGCCACGCTGCCACAAACGACCTCTTCACCCGCCTTTGCATGATGGGCGGTATCTCGGCGCGCGTCGTCCGAATGTCAATGTACCTCCTTCAAGCGGTGCAGGCCATGGCCTGGGCAATGAAGCAGGACATCCCGGCCACTGCGAGGCCGTATCTCGATCCTTGGGTGAAGCTAGCAATCCAGGAGAGCGAGACAAAGGCACCGAGTTACGCAGTTCCGGACCGCGATGAAATCAAGGCCCTTCTGGCCGACGATGATCAGAGCGATGGAGGATCTGTCGAAAGCGGCGCTGAACTGTGGGCATTGGTGGAGAAGTGGGCTCTCAGCACCGGGAAGGGTCTCTGATGATATGTCCATGTAGTCAATGGGGAGCCTGGCGTTTTGTATTGGTTTGCATGGCATGTGGTGCAAGCGTGTTTGATCATGACGGGGAGTGAAGGATCTTTTTTAGCATTTACTGTGCCTGTGGTGGCCATTAGCGGAACAGAGATTTGAGCTGCGCGACCTGCTATTGTCGCTGCTAGATCATGACCGAAGGCTGATGCAACATCGTGACAGTGAACTATCAAAGCCATCGAGGCTCACTCCCCGCCCCGATATCGATCAAGTGCCAGCAGCCATCAAGGAATGGAGGAGAATTACCATACTTTCATGGGATCATAATCGACAGTCTTGACTGGCCCGGTTGTTTTAAATCCTTGGCTATCGAGAGTGCATCGAATTGCGCACCAATCACGGCCAGCGATTCACCCGGCGAATTGTCAACGTTGTCTTGAGCGTATGACTGGGGGGTGAAAGATTAATGTCACCTTCCCACTTGGTAGCGGCAACCCCCTCCAGCTTCTCCAGATGAAGCAGATGTGGAATTAAGCTTGGTAGCTTCCACCGGAGTCCCATCCGTACTTGCAGTGCCGTTCAATGGCTGTTCCCGGTACCTTGCGTTCGTCTGCCCGTATCGAGAATGGGAAGATGTCATGAAGAGCCTATTCCGCAAAGTCGCATCACCTCGTATTCTTCAACTTCCACGAAAGTTCTAGCTTAGCTGCCGTTGCCTCTTCTAGGCTTGTCTCCTTTACTCTAAGTTGCTAGTCACATCCTGTTCCATCCTTCCATCCCCACCCTCTCCTTCTTGCGGGTTTTCTCGAAGCCACCAAACGCCTGCGAGTCCGGAGACATGGCTTCCGTCGGTATTCGATGCGCACCTTGCTTCAACGGCGCTTTCGGTATATACATGTTTTGATACGAGGAACGAACAGGGGATGCGCCATCAGTGTCACATCCCGTCAAGTCCCCGCACATATGCAACAACGATACTTCTTTCTATCCCTGCAACTGATCAGTCTTGTTCAAGAAGGCAAAGTTACGAAGCAGGTCATCGAACGTTGAACTTCCTCAGCCATATATGCTGGTGTCTGGCGCACGTCTGACTCTCTCCGAAATAATGTGTCAGTTCCTACTGCAGTCGTAGCTGCTCCACAGACTCCGCCTTAGGTCATCATCAAGATGCCTACCCTAGCCTCCATCGTCGTCACTCTTCTGCAAGGCCTATGCATTGCAGTCCGGGCCCAAACAACAATCACATCCATCGGAAACCCCATCATCGCCGATGGAACCTACTACACAGCAGACCCAGCTCCCTTGGTCGTGAACAACACAGTCTATATCCTCACCGGCCGAGACACCGCCCCCGCAAGCCAAAATGCCTTCATCATGAACAAGTGGGAGATGCTCAGCAGCACCGATCCGCGTCCCTCTGGAGCCCAATGGCAGCTGCGCACCAACATTGCCCGCCCGGAATCGGTCTTCAAGTGGGCTGCGTCCGGGACCGCCTACGCCTCTCAAATCGTGCAGGGCCCGGACAAGAGATTCTACCTCTACGCGCCCGTCACTCAGGCCTCAACTTCGAATTCTGATCGATTCGCTATCGGGGTTGCCGTCTCGGCCAACCCCTGGGGTCCATTCACAGATGCTCATCCCAGTGGGCCTATTGTCTCACAGTCCGTCCCATCGCCGGGTAACACCATTCAGAATATCGATCCAACGGTTCTCCTCGACGATACTGGAAGAGTCTATCTCTACTGGGGCACATTTGGTCAGCTTCGCGGCATTGAACTCTCGACAGATATGGTCACGACCATCGGACAAGCCACGGCATTCAACAGCCTAACGGGGTTCTTCGAGGCACCGTGGCTCCTTAAAAGGAAGGGAACGTACTACATGCTCTACGCCGCCAACAACGCCGGCCCAGATTCACCGTGCACACCGACATCATACCACGCCTGCATCGCCTACGGAACCGCCTCCTCGCCGCTAGGTCCGTGGACATTCAGGGGCGTGATGCTGGACATCGTCTCATCAACCACATCGCACCCGGGTGCCTTTGAGTTGAACGGCCAGTGGTACCTAGTCTACCACACCCGAGACGCCACAGGAGGCGGCCACTTCCGCCGCAGCGTGGCCCTAGACTCCATGACCTGGGATGACAACCAGTCGCCCCCACGTATCAACAAAGTCATCCAGACACGCCGCGCTCAGCCCGCGGCGCCAGCAACCCGCAACATCGCGACGAAAGCCACAGCAAGCTCAGTCAACCGCACCCCGATCCAGTACTGGATCAAATCCATCAACGACGCGTGGATCCCAGGGAACCCCCTCCCACCAGACTACTGGTGCTCCTACGACGGCGCCGCCTCCCCGCAAACGAATACGCTCGTTTTGACGTGGCCTTCGGCGGTGACGCTGAATGGGGCGAGAATGGTGTTGTTCGCCGACCAGCCTGCTGAGTCGAATATCGGGGTGCCGCCTCCTGCGAGCTGGCGGATCGAGTACTTGAATGGGAGCGGTGCGTGGGTTGCAGTTACGGCGACGTCTTCGTATCCTACTGCTGTTACGGATAACCCTGCGATTGTCAACTTTAACCAGGTTTCGACGAAGAGTATTCGTGCGGTTTTACTGGCTTCTGGTGGGAATGGGCAGTATGGTGGTGTTGGTGTCAAAGAGTTTGAGGCTCTTGCTCCTACTGCGCAGTAAACACTCAGAGAACAAGCACATGGGGGGTTGATGCATACAGAACATTGATTTTCTCACTCTTCATTCAACATTACGTATCTCTCCATCAAGAGTCCATGTCCTTTGAAGTCCTCCCAAGTGACCTCGCCTAGGTAGAAAGTATCCCGTTCCAATTTTCCGACGTGTCTCCTTACACATAACCACAGATCTCAATCCAACTATCGCTCATCAAAGCTTCGCCCTAATCTCAGGCTCCCCCAGAACTTCATGCTTGAACCGATACACGATATCACTAAACCTGCCCTCCGGGAAAACATAAAGCCACGTCATGGTCTCCCCGCCGTCGCAAAACACACCGTGCTCCGCGTCTCCGGGGATCCACACCAGCTGGTCCTTGGATACCGCGTGCCGGACGCCGTTGATCTCGACTTGCCCACTGCCGGAGAGCACGTAGTAGATCTCGGCCTGCTTGTGGCGGTGCAGCGCCAGGCTGCCGTTGGGCGGGCACGTCGCCACGCCGGAGCTGAGGGAGTCGGTTACGGTGCCGGGGGCGGAGACGAGGGTGTGCCATGTTGCGTTGCCGCGGGATTGTTCGGGGAAGGATTCTGGGGGGTTTGTTGTGGAAGATTTGAGATCTACTATGAGGGGTAATTCTGGAGTTTTTGACGCCATATTTCCTTGTGTTTCGTTTCTCGTTACGGTATGTACAGAAACTTGGAAAGGCTGTCCTCTAGAAGGCACACAATTTCTACAGTGTTTTTGGTGACGAAGAATTGTGTTTGTGGGGGTTTATATCATTCGTCATCTACCCCTCCTATTCCGACTCCGGTGAACTAAGAACAAGACGCCGTCTTATCCAATTTTTTACGTGACGATGGTGTCCGTTGTTCGTACTATATTGGTCGGTGATGTGGAGACCCACACCACCAGTCCGGCAAGAAATGCCTTGTTTGGCATGTCGAGCCTCGGGGTCTCAACTCTTTGTCCGGATAAGATATCTACAATCAACTACTTCCGTTGCACCGAATTCTTCATCCATCCGCGCTCATATAATGCTTTTTTTTATTCATGTTGCTTGCACACGATGCGAAGTACTATAGACGAAGGGCTGCTGTTGGCACGCTCACCAGGAACTCCTATCAGGAGATTTTCTGTAGAAAGATATGCTGATGTTGGCGTGTAGGCATAGCTAGAAGCCTTCGATTTTGATTTTGTCATTGATAGCGACCTAATATCGCTGCATTACCAGTGAGCCTTCTACTAGAATTGTTTTTACTCAGGTTCATGGATAACACCAAGGCGGCTGGGGCATCATCCGAAGAGTTTCGCAGCATTACCCCTTCTCACAGCTTCGACCTTGCTCGTGTCGTTGAAAGCCTCTTCCACATCTTGATCGAACTTGATTCTCCCAGCCTCAGCCATGGCCCAAGGGGTGAAAGGCGTATCTGTTCCCCACAAAAGCTTTTCATAGCTCACCCACCGGAGCAGAGAAGGAATCGCCCAAGTGACCGGCCAAGGTCCAGCAAGGTCAAAGTAGAAGTTCTCCGCTAGGGTGGATTTCATGAATGACTCTGTGAGATTGATATCGGGCGTGCTATAACTGACGATCCGATCCAGAGTGGGAACGAGGCCGCCGCCGGCATGAGGCATGATCCACTGGATGTGAGGGAATCGCGTCGGAATCTTGGAGTAGAATAAGTCTGCAAATGTACGAGCTGTTTCAAAGGGGAAGTCGATGGTCGGCGCTCGTCCTTGCCGTCCTGCTACCGGCCTGTTCAGGGTAAGCCATTCCGGCGGTGTGATACCGGGGTCTTCTCCGTCGATTGAGAATCTCAAATGGTTATGCTCCGTGCAGGGAGCGGTAGGATGCTCAAATATCGTGGCGTTCACCTCATTCAATGCCTTGTAAACTGTATCGAGGTCCGGGTCGCCCAGGTACATCCCGTAGAAGTTGGACATGAACACGATGCCGTCAGGTTTCGGGTCGAGTTTGGTGAAGCAGTGTTTGATCTCTTCCACGGACGCGCCCACATCTGGGAGGGGAAGGGATGCAAAGAAGCCAAACTTTTCGGGATACTTGGCTTTTACTTCTGCAGCATATTCGTTGACTTGTCGTGCGAGTTTGATGGCTTTCTCTGTCGCGGGCTTTGATGGTACGGAGAGGTATACCCCCGGGCTGGAGATGGACAAGTACGATTTCTCAATGTCTTGCGCTTCCATGAAGTTGATGTGTGCCTCGGGCGTCCATTCCTATCACCCAGTTTAAGCATATCGCAGAGCTGCTTCTTTTGCATGTAGAGATTGATACTGACAGGAATCCCGGGCATGCCATCGGG